GAATGCTTGAGAAGTTTAACTTTAATTGGAATGCTTGGAATTGTAACTTTAATTTTCTTAGGTTGTGAATGCTTGAGAAGTTGATGAGATTGTGAATTTATATATGTTTGAGAAATTGAGGTTGTGTATTTATTTATTTAGGTTGTGAATTTATATTTTTGTGAATGCTTGAGAACTCGCGGTTTTAAACCGCTAATTCGCGGTAACCGACCGCATTTTGCGGTTTACCGCAAAACGCGGTCGGTTTGCGGTTTCAAAAATCACCAAACCGCAAATAGTCGGTCGGTTTGCGGTTTGAGTAAAAATTCGCGGTTACCGAACCGCAACCACCCCTACTTAAAACACAATCATCATAATACCCAAACAGCCCCCAGACGCGGACTTTTACCAAACCGAACAGCAAATATTGAAATATCAGGGATTCAGATCTAAACCGGATCCGACTGCATAGACCCAAACGGACCGACGCTGACAGTTTTGACTATCGATTATCGTAAGCGCTACCCTCCACATTTTACAACCGACACAGCCCCTCATTTCCCTCCATACCTTTTTTTCGATCTTCCTTCCTCCTGCAATTTGGCCCAATTGGAGTTGCTTCGTATATAGGCCCGAAATGAGAACATGGAGCCCTGCGACAAGAACATGAAGAAGAAGAGGAAGCGGAGCCAGAGGCCCGTCAGGCTAAGATGCTCCGTCAAGAATTACGATTGGGGCATTGTCGGCCGCCATTCCAAGGTCGCCAGGCTTTTCGCGCTCAATTCAGGGTCGGATATCGACCCCGCCAAGCCCTACGCCGAGTTCTGGATCGGGACGCATGAATCCGGGCCTTCGTTTGCCGATTCCGGGTCGGAGCCCGTGAGCCTCAAGGCCTGGATCGCTCAGGATCCCAGTGTGCTTGGGGACAAGGTTGTTGACAAGTGGGGTGCTGATCTTCCCTTCTTGTTCAAGGTATGGTTTCCGTGTTCTCTGTTTGTTTGCTGAGAAAATGCGGACAAAGAAAGGAAAATTGCATTATGTTCAATTTTCTTGGGAATTCAAAACGAGTGTGTGCTTGTGAATTCAATTTTCTCGAAGCTGAACACTTGCATTATGTTCTTTCTTTTGGTCAAACACATTATAAATCTGAGATTTAGAATTTTCTCCTGCAAAATGTTGGTAATTTTTTTTTACTGCGTGGACCTTAATTTTGACTGGATGAATCTGTTTAATTGGTGCTCCAAGATTATGGACTTTGGGTTTATTGTGGGATTTTAGGTACTTTCGGTTGGGAAGGCTTTATCAATACAGGCTCATCCGGATAAAGAACTAGCTAGGGTGCTGCACAAGTTACACCCAAATGTTTACAGAGATGACAATCACAAGCCTGAAATGGCATTGGCATTGACAGAGTTTGAGGCTCTTTGCGGGTTTATTAGTGTCAAGGTAAGACAGAAATCATCATTTGGAGGTCATTTGGTTTGGATTTTTGTTGGGCATATTTGTATTGAATATGGTCATAACTCTAAGGAGATAATCATAATAATATACTACTTTAAAAAGTCTGCAAGGACGTCCTTTGCTGCACATTTTATCAATTTCATGTAAACTGTGAGTTATAGGTGCTATTGTTCAGATCCTTAGTAATGGAGCATAAGCTCTGCCTCTGCTTTTAGTTCCTACTGCATGTCATGATACAGAGCATGTTGCAATCAGTTCCACTGTAAGAAGGAAATTGTCGCAGTTGAAATCAATAGATGAAGACTTGGTTTGAATAATACATAATGAAATCCATGAAGACACCTGCTTATGATTTCCCTTGATTTCTCTTTCTCCTTGTACTTATCAAACAATTTATCATTTCTCATACTCCATCTGATTTGCTTGTACTTATTGCATGTTTTATATATTCCAGGAGCTAAAAGACATGCTTAGCAGTGTTCCCGAGATTGCAGAGTTGGTTGGGGTTGGAAATGCAGAGAGAATTCTACTTGTTAATGGGCAGCATGAGAATGGGAAATCAAAAACGGATTTAGAGTCCCTCTTCAGTCGAGTTATGTTACTAAGTAAAGATACAATTTCTGAGATGATATCTAAACTGAAAAGGCGTCTTAATCTAGAGAAAAAGGTAATTTGAAGTTATGTTAGTTGTATAAAGTTTTAGTGCATATTTTTATTGTTGGCATTAAAGTGATTCTTTTCTTTAATCATATTGAAGGATGTAACCAGCAATAACTAAAATCACAGTTTGATGTTGGGCTATTGATACAAAATATGAAAGCTCTAAGAGCTTCCTTTTGGAAGTGCTAAATAGATGTAAATATAATCTAGTCATTGACCACTGAGGTAAAAACAGATGACGATTCCAACTAATTTTGTTTAGATTTCAAGGAAAAAGTGTGAAGTATGGTGGTGTTTCAATTTAAGACTTGTCAAGAAATTTGAAGTGATAGAGGAACATTGTTGTTTTAATCGTCAGAATAACTGAAGTGCCATCGTTATCCACCATGTTCATCTTGACTGCATCACTAGTTTTTTTTTTTTTTTTTTTTTTTTCAATTACCATATTTTCTCCTCCTTTTTTTTTTTGGTCATAACCATATTTTCTCCTTCGTTGGACCAGAAAAGGCAATTGACGGTTAAAGAACAACTGGCACTCAGATTGGAGAGTCAATATCCAGCTGATGTGGGTGCAATAGCAGCATTTTTTCTTAACTATGTGAAGCTGAACCGTGGTGAAGCAATAAGTCTTGGGCCAAATGAGCCCCATGCATATATTTCTGGTGAATGCATTGAGTGTATGGCAACTTCTGACAATGTTGTTCGTGCCGGCCTTACCTCAAAACCACTGGATGTCCAAACGCTTCTTTCTATGCTTAAATACAGACAGGTAACAATAAAATTTGATTCTAGACTTTCCAGATTGTCTTTCCTTTTCTAGGGGCATGCTCCGTCTGTCACTTTTGTCCAAGAACATTAGATTTATGCATTTGCCTTGACATTATAGCTATCCCATCCATCAGTGATTAGCTGGATATTGCCATCACGTCTTTTGGAGGAGATGGGCGTTTTAAACCATTGTTTCGTTTTTGTTGCATTATTATTATTTTTTTCTTCTCACAACTCTTTTCTCTCTTGTACATATGGCCCCCACTATGTGCTGAATGTCATATGATGGGATATTTCACTTTACTTTGTTTTAGTATCAGCTACTTATAATCTGTTTTCTATTGTTTTGCAGGGTTCTCCTGAGATTTTGCAAGGGGTTTCTTTGAATCCATACACAACAAGGTATCTCCCACCTTTCGAAGAATTCGAAATTGATTGCTGTAACCTTCCTCAGTCTGCAGCGGTAATTTTTCCCTCAGTCCTAGGACCATCCCTTTTCCTATTCACTGCTGGGAAAGGACATTTTGATGCAGGTCTGCCCGAGGATGATATGGTGAAGGAGGGGGATGATATAGTTGAAGAGGGTGGGGTTTTCTTTGTGCCTGCCAACACGAAGATTAGCATTACTGCCAAATCAACAGAACTGCAACTGTATAGGGTGGGGGTGAACAGCAAAATTTATAGGGATTTGTAGTCTGCAATTACGTCGAATTCTTACATTTCTTTTTTGGATGAAGAAAAAATGCGGACCATGGTTTTATACAATCACATCTTTATGTAATATTTGCTCCTTTATTCTTTTAATTTATTTATTTATCCTTTTCAATTCATATAATTCTATAACTAGTGTAATGATTTTCCGAAATTTTGTATTTTCGATGTTGTATGTAAGTTACAAAGATTAACATTTGGATGGAATTACGAATTGTCTCATTGGTTTTGTTTAAAATAGCTTATTTTTGTAATCTATGTTAATTTTTTTTACCGTTGAAAGATTTTTATGAGGACATGGAAAAAAAAAATAAAAAAAGAAAAGAAATTCGGTAATTGCTTGAAGCCCAAGTTGGGTTGGGTTGAATGAACTGCTGAATAGGGTTGGGTTGAAACAGTAAATGCTTGGAGCCCAAGTTGGTGACGATGGGTCAAACGTCAAATGAGCGAAAGCGGTCGGAGTTTAAGACAACGCGTCATTTTTTGCAATTACAAGTGGAGGGTTAACTTAAGCCCAGAAAACGGAAAAACCACAGAATCTTTCTCTCATCCCATCCCATCAGAGTCTGCTGCAACGAAACTGATTCCCTCCACCACTGCTTTGTCAGCTTGGCTCCGAGGACTTATTTAGGGTTTTTTCTTTCTAATCTATAGGTTTGCCAGCTTCCCGCACACACTTACTCCGAAGATCCAGAAAGGTCCTTTCCCGTTTTAGAAATGCCAGGCAAGGACGATGGCGGCTCCGATAAGGAGAAGAACCTGGAGCTCTTTTTGAATGTCGGGTTGGATGAGCGAACGGCCAAAAACACCATCGCCAACAACAAAGTCACCGCTAATCTCACTGCTGTCATTCACGAGGTACTCGATCGTTGTTTTGTTTTTTTTCATACTGAAATTTCATTTTTCTTGTTTATAAACCCGTGGGTTTATTTATTTATTCTACTAATTTGTTCTTGAATAATTTCAGGCCGCAGTTACTGATGGATGCAGTCGAACTGTTGGTAATCTCCTGTATACGGTAAGTAGTTTACTTTTAAGCCATCTGTTTAACGTTTCTGCTTAAGATATGAATCCAGTGATTATTAGTGTAATTTCTAGTCTTGGAGAAGTTACTTTGGCCTCCCTTGTTTCGAAATGGGTAAGAAAAGTTTTGTGGATTGGAAGTTCTTGAATGCATGTTTGAAAACTATTACAGCCGCTATTTTGAGTTCAATCCTCGAGCAAAATACGCTCGAGTAAAATTCTCAGAAAGAAGTTTCTAAAGTCTACCAATCAGCATAAATTTTTTCCTTAAAAGTTGTAATTTTTGGTGAAACGCCTCTGAGAAATGAGATGTTTTCATTCCAATCAATAATTTTTTGTGCACTGGTGTTCTATCATCTATGGCAGGTTGCCACGAAGCACCCAGCAAATGCCCTTGTGCATCGCCCAACGTTGGTGCAATACATTGTATCATCGAAGGTTGGTGAGCATACCTTCTTAATGTTTTAAATTTAAACTACGTACCTTCATCAAATCCTTACACAGTTTCTCTTTTCCAGATCAAAACTCCAGCCCAGTTAGAAGCGGCGTTTTCATTTTTTGCAACTACAGGGCCAGAGAATTTCAAACTAAGCGAATTTGAGGAAGCATGTGGTGTTGGTACGGTTACAATGGGTCATCTAGCTTTCTTTGTTTTTTTTTTCTTTTCCAGTTAAAAGGGTCATCTATTTGGACATAAATTGAGCAGTACAATGTTCAATGAGGACTTGTTACATAATGCTTTATATCTGGCATGTAATGCAAGTTCTTACTCTTTCCATTTATCCATTCTGCTAGTAGTCGCATTTGACTTCATTGAAGGTTACAGTTTCTAAGTTTGAATTAATTGTATCATGTTAGTAATCCTGATTCCTGTCTAAAATTATAGACATTGATAACCTCATTGCTTTTACGAGCAGGTGTTGAAGTTTCAGAAGAAGAAATAAAACAAACTGTTAATGAGGTTTTTGAAGAGAATAAGACAGCAATTTTGGAGCAGCGCTACAGAACAAATGGTTAGTCACACACACACAAACTCACAACCAAGAAAACGTTATGTTATTGTAGGGGAACATACATACGCCAGACATTCATACTATGTTTTGTAAATCTATTGAGAATCCTATCATGTTACGTTATCATAAACTCTTGGAAGTTATTCCATATCAAGGGAAAAATATATGATACACAGAAACATTCATAATTCCATAGATTGGTTGATTTGATCTGGCTCATGGATGGTTCTTTAAGCATCAGAGTTACTTTTAGTCAACATTCTGTTTGAAACTACTAAACTTCACATTCTGTTGTTTTGTCTCTAGTCGGTGATTTATTTGCACATGTTAGGAAGAGGCATCCATGGGCTGATCCAAAAATTGTCAAGGTGATCTTATTTTGCTTCCTTTGAACTTATTTTTAAATAATATTTCTTCGTTTAATAGAAAAAATCGGTGACAGGCAAACAATTTTCGTACTAAAACATTTCTGACTGCGATATCTTTCTGTGACAGCAATTCATTGATGCAAAATTGCGTGAGTTACTTGGTGAAAGGACTGCAGCAGATGATGAAAAGGTTCCTAAAAAAAAGAAAGAGAAGCCTGCTAAAGTAGAGGTTAGCATTTCTGCGATGTCTGTTCATTTTGCTTGAAATGTTTTGGGAGATGACTGAAAATCTCTCTCTCAATGCGTCTCCTCCCCCTCCCCTTCCACTTGTGTAGGAAAAATCCATTGCTGTTTCTACTCCTGAACAGCCATCTGAAGAAGTTCTTAATCCATTTTCGATATTCCCTCAACCGGAGGAAAATACTAAGGTATGTTATTCCCAATTTTTGTTTTTGTTTTTCTTGTATTACGACATTCTTCCAACTGTTTATACAGGCTTTTATTGAGATTCGGACAAAATACTGAAGAAACAAAAGAAGTCATTTTTATGTATTTTCTTAAATAGGGGGTATTTTTATTGTTTGTTATCGACTTTGCCTTTGGTCTTTTAACCAACCAAGGGTTGTTTTTATGATTTTCCAAATCATACTTAGTAGGATCAAACTCACGCTTTTATCATGCTCATTTTGACTTACAAGTATGACATATTTGTGAATCCTTAATTTTGTTGTTGTCGTATTGAGTTGTGAGCTTGCCTTCCATGTTATCATATGCAGCTCTCTGGAAGCAATTGATTAAGACATTTTGTTATTCTGTTGTCAATTTTCAGGTGCATACTTCAGTTTTCTTTAGTGATGGATCTATTCTGAGATGTTGTAACACAAAGGGACTGCTTGAGAAACACTTAAGTGTGACCGAAGGGAAAGTTTTGACCCGTTTTCCTCCTGAACCAAATGGATATCTGCATATAGGTCATGCCAAGGTAAATATACTTATGTGTTATAGGCTAGATTCAGTGTTTGCTTTGTCTGTGGTTGTTCCTCATATTATAACCATAATTTTTGGTCAGGCAATGTTTATTGACTTTGGCCTGGCAAAAGAGAGAGGTGGAGGCTGCTACCTACGGTGAGAGTCTTTCCGTGTTAACTTTTTTTAGTATTGTTTTTCTTTTCATTTTCCAGTAAGAAGGGGAAAAAATTAGAATAGACATGGAAAACATATAATTGATTTTTTTTATATGGGTTGTTGATGCCAACTTTATAAGATGGCATATGATGTACTATTTGTAGTATTGCTGAAGAAGATCCAGTTTCCTGTTTGCAATATCTCAAACCAAGAGATTGTTTTCTGGATTATTTTTTATTGTATATAGTCAGATATAGCATAATTACTCCAACTGTTATAACAATACACTAATTGTGCCAGGATAACATATTTCAACTAATGACTGTTGCAGAAGTTTATAATCTTCCTTCAAATTTTTCTAATTGCTCTTTAACTTTGAAAAATAAAAAGAAATTTCCATCTGCCATTGTTTTTTGAGAATTGATTCCTACTTTGTGTCACTTTTAGGTTTGATGATACAAACCCGGAAGCTGAAAAGAAAGAATATATTGATCATATTCAGGAAATTGTAAAGTGGATGGGTTGGAAGCCCTACAAGGTAAAAAAGTTGGTTGGTACATCTTTTGCCGCTTTGCCTTGTTTCTTTGTGATAGCTGACATCTGTTGGATTTCTGCAGATCACTTACACTAGTGATTACTTTCAAGATCTGTATGATTTAGCAGTGGAGCTCATACGAAGGGGTCACGCTTATGTTGATCATCAGGTTTTGTTCAAAATTTATTTGAAATTTATGTGAAAATTTGGCATATTGTGTTATATGATGTGAGCATTTAGTTCTCTACATACTTTACAAATCCTCTGTAGAACGTAGTTTAATTTTGCCACTCCATGCTCGATCATGGATTATATATTGCTGGCTAAACCTTTAAACTTTCAGTGATACTATCAATTGATTAACATTTCAACTTTGCAATCTCAAGTTTGGTTTTATTTACTAATCAACATTGGTTTGAGAAAGATTCTTACTTTTGTTAATATTGGTTTTAGACACCTGACGATATAAAGGAGCACAGGGAGAAAAAATTGAACAGCCCTTGGAGGGACAGGCCAATTGCAGAATCATTGAAACTTTTTGAGGATATGAGACGAGGCCTGATTGAAGAAGGCAAAGCAACCCTTAGAATGAAGCAAGACATGCAGAGCGATAATTTTAATATGTATGACCTTATTGCATATCGTATCAAGGCAAGTGTGGACCTTAAATAATCCTTTTGATTACTCAAGCTCATGGACGTTCTCATTATTATGTGAAATTTTTTTTTAGTTTACTCCTCATCCGCATGCTGGAGACAAGTGGTGTATCTATCCAAGTTATGATTATGCTCACTGCATTGTGGATTCTCTTGAGAATATCACACATTCGGTATGCTTTTTACCTTTGGTTAATATTCTTTCCTAAGATATGATCATGGTATAATTTATGATTTCCCCAAATCTGTAACAAAAAGTAAATAAAAAATTCATGCCTAATTTATCTGAGGAACTTTTCTTTTTAAGAATAAACATAGAAAGCATCACTTTTAGGTTTCTCTTGCAAAAAAGAAAAATAAGCTATACTTTATCTCAGGGGCTCAATTCTGAAGTAGTTGCGCATATTATGCATTTTTGTTGCTCAGTCTCATACTCTTTTTGACAGAAGTGATAAGTTACATAAAGATGTAACCTGCACATTCTGTATCTGGTGTGAACCCTGCAGAAACTCTGAAATCTAGAGTCATCTCCCTCCCTCCCTGTGTGTGTTATTTTTCATTATTATTCAAATGTTGATGACTGAGTCTTGAGATCGAGGGCGTATATATTGCCCTTGAGATTGGTAACTTTAATCATCTTGTTTATCAATATGGCAGCTGTGCACACTTGAATTTGAAACACGCCGTGCTTCATACTACTGGTTGTTGCACGCACTCGGAATTTATCAACCATATGTATGGGAATACTCACGACTGAATATCAGTAACACCGTTATGTCAAAGCGTAAGGTGAGTCAACTGCTGAACATATGTTCAGTGTTATAATGTATAATGTATATTTGCTATCTGTCAGCATTTACACTTAACAATGACCTTTTATGTTGCAGTTAAATCGACTGGTGACAGAGAAGTGGGTTGATGGTTGGGATGACCCACGTCTTATGACACTGGCTGGTTTACAACGCAGGGGTGTAACATCTACTGCAATAAATGCTTTTGTTAGAGGAATTGGAATCACTAGAAGGTTCGAATTTGTCTGTGTGTGTGTAATGTGTATTGAGCCTGCTTTTAGTTCTCACATTTTGTAGTGCTAATTCATGATCATAAATGAATTTGTGGTTCCTTCTGCGACAGTGATTGTAGTATGATACATTTAAGTCGCCTCGAGTATCACATAAGAGAGGAACTAAATAAAACTGCTCCTCGCTCAATAGCTGTGCTACATCCCCTCAAGGTGTGCATCTTATTGGCATTTCTTTTTCTCTTGATATTTTCAATCCATCTGTGTATGACTGATCATTCCTTATCTAAGGTGGTTATTTCTAACCTGGAAGCTAAAACTACAATGGATCTAGAAGCAAGGAAATGGCCTGATGCTCAGACAGATGATGCATCTGCTTTCTACAAGGTAACCTTGGATTTCACAGATCAATATTATGCATAGAGGTTAATGCTGAGATACAAGATTTTGAACATTTTTCATGGCAGATTAACGTTTTGTATGTCCATAAGTTCTGTTATTCCAATGGTATTTGGTTCCATGTTATTAGACGAATGATTATAGTATTAGATTACTCTCGGATAGATTTTTTATGTGTTTGTTACATCCAAAATGAATAATTTAATATAAAATCCCGAGAATCGCTTTTGTTATTAGCCTTTTTGCTAATATCACTTTGTTCTTTTTAATAAATGTCGGCCCGAGCTTTTGGTGCTTTAGTTGTCACATAATTCTTTTTATTTGCCTTCACAACAGGTCCCCTTTTCCAATACTGTTTATATTGAGCGGTCTGATTTTCGGCTTAAAGATTCAAAAGATTACTTTGGGCTTGCTCCAGGAAAATCAGTCCTACTTAGGTATGTATAGATTACAAGATTTTAGTTTCGTTTCCACTTTAGCAGATTGGGGCGGCATAGTGAGAATCTTATCTTCGTGGTTGCAGGTATGCGTTCCCTATTAAGTGCACAGATGTCATATTAGCTGATGATAAGGAAACTGTTCTTGAGATACGGGCTGAGTATGATCCTACAAAGAAGACAAAGCCAAAGGTCTATGATCTATCTGTTGTGCTGGAATTATGAATGTTGTTTGATGCTTGGATATACTACGCTCTGTTGCTTCTTCTTAGTTACTTTTTGTTTCTTATTGGTCAATCTATTCCACAGGGGGTGCTTCATTGGGTTGCTGAACCTTCCCCAGGAGTTGATCCACTCAAAGTGGAAGTCAGATTGTTTGACAGACTGTTCCTTTCAGAGGTTGGCCATCATTACTTTCTAAGAACAACCCCCCCCCCCCCCCTTCTCTCTCCTCTGAAAATCTTTCTGAATCTAATGTGTGTGTGTGTCAGAATCCTGCTGAGCTCGATGATTGGCTTGCTGATCTGAACCCACAATCCAAAGTGGTAATACCCGATGCATATGCTGTGCCCTCACTTCGGAGTGCTGTTGTTGGGGACACATTTCAGTTTGAAAGGCTTGGTATGTTCCTGCATTGACTTGTTAATGTTTATTTTTTAACTTCAGCTTCATTTTATAGAATAAATAAATAGGCACACTTTGCATGAGACGAATGAATACATAGGTGATATTCTAATTGTAATTGAATTCTATTATGCCGTAGTCAAACGAAAGTATCTTATTGCAAGCTTGTCTGATTGTATGTTTCTTCCGTTGCAGGCTATTTTTCAGTCGATAAAGATTCGACTCCTGAAAAACTTGTGTTTAATCGTACTGTGACACTGCGAGATAGCTATCGTAAGGGTGGGAAGTAGGGGGGTTAGTCGTGGAAATCAGAGTAGAGAGGAATGTGGGAAGTGGTTTTTGGCAGCAATAAGTAACGTGTTTTGAATATTTGTGGTATACAGTTGACACCGTTTTGAACCAACCAATTATATTTTGTGTATATTGAACCAATTATACGACAAATTCATGTATACAGTCAGTCGAGATGGTTTTCATGGAAGTCTGTTCACCCGCGTTTTCAGTGTTGTGCATTGTTGTCGTCGTAATTATCAGGATGCGTCTAGGATAGGAGCTTCTAGGTGTTGGTGTTTACAAAATGCATGGGTGTTCATAACGTCGCCTTTCGTGGACCCAAAAACCAAAAGAAATCATACTGCATTCAGTCAAAAGTTAAAACGTAAAGTGTAGACAGATCTTATAGAAAGATTGAGGTGATTGAATTTGAAGTTGTACAATGAAGAAGGAAAGTTCCGTTGTTGCTACGAAAGCTGATCAAAAATCAAGCGACCTTGTCTACTTGTCTTAGTGTCAAACCAACAATATACAACTGTTGACAACCACATATTATTGTGAATGTTGAATGGACAAGAATATCAACCTTGACCATATGAAATGAAAGGATTTTAAGACATGCGTGTTAGCCAGGGCCATGAAACTGCTAAACAAACAACTTCCTAATTCCACGAGCAAACAAAGCTATTGATTTTGTGCTAAAAAAGGGAAACCACAAGTGTCGGGTCTTTCTAGTTAGTGATTGATTAGTGGGGTGGGGTGCCCTTAAACTTGATTAAAAGAGGCAATAAAAAAGTATTGTTGAATGTTGAGTCTTATTGACGCTCACACATTGAACACAAGACGAGTAAGAAGAAAAGTAAAAGGTGCAAAAATGAGGTGAGGTGAGGTGGGCTAATAGGAAAGAGTTTGGTCTGTTCACGCTTACTTGTGAAAGCGAAAGATTGATATGATTTGATCGAGATTTGAAATTGAAAGAATAAAAGTGACAACCATATTCTGTTTTCCCATCATCCATTCTAAATCTAAGGTTCCGTTCCATCCAGGAGAGCCTCACATGAAAATTTAGCCACCATTTTGGGTCACATGCTCTGCTCTGCTCTGCTGCCTCTTTTTAAAAAGATAACCCTCTCATCTCACTACTATTTGTCCTCTCTCTCTCTCTCTCTCTCTTTCTCTCTCACCCACATTTACATTTCACACAAACTTTACCATGAAAAACATCCAAGAATTAGATACTCATCATCACCCACTAGAAAAGATCCATACCCTACCAGTCTAGCTAACAGCTTCCCTAGTTTTTATATAGCTTAGCTTACCAATGACCCGTGTTATATAGAATCAAATTGTTGTTGACTGAAGGTTGTAAAAATAAACAAGAATATGTAATCATATGGTTGGTTCCATTCCATGATCATTCCATCAAGAACATTATCATAATTTATTCTGTACATGACTTGTAGTAGAAATAGAAAAGCCCCTTTCAAGCCTAGTTAAAAATGGGTTATATTTTTCAACCTTACTGTAGATTCTGCATTATTTTTCTTCCTCTGTTTCTGTTTGCCGACGTCGCTGCTTGTTTGATACAGTTTTTCATAATCAAACATTTTTGTTTTCCTCTTAAGGTAGCCATTCTCAACTGTCACGTCAATGACAACGTTTTCCAACTAGACAACAAACTCTCTCTCTCTCTCTCTAAATTCATTTGTCTCCAGGTTTTATCTGCATCCTTCTAGTTCATTTTGGCATACTCGAAGCATTCTTCTTCTAATTTTTTGATCAGGGCCCTGCCCTTTTTTACAGCATTTTCATTGCGATATCATAAAATAAGAAGAAGAAGAAAAAAAAGAAAATGTAAACGAGGTGTGTGGTGTATGTGTCGGATATCCATATCCACAATTAAGATGTGACTCCACTTTTGTTGCTTTTGAGTTTGAGTTGTCACTTCAATTTCTTGGATTGACTGCACACTTAATGCAACGTCAAACAGCATCTTAATCATGCAGTTTAATTTTGTTTCAAATCACAGACTGCGTTGCTAACAACAGAACAATCATTGTTGAAGCTACAATTAATTCATAATGTCTCTGTCTATCCATAAACGCTACACTTCTTCTCTTCAACACAGAATTGAGATTTTAGGAAGGGTATTCAATTGAGATTTTAATAGATTTTAATATAATGAATTTGAGCCGGATTTGTAATTACATAACTTTACTTACAATTTTAATTTATTGCAATTACATGATTTTACTTATTATTTTAATTCACTTTGGATTTTACTTATATTTCTATACAAGCTTGAACTATATTCACATAAATACATAACCTGAAGGCATATACCATTACACTATATACAAGGAAATATCATGATTGCGGCATAAGAGCAAGTTGGGGCTGAATCAAGAATGTAGATAGAAAATCATCACGAATATGTGAAGTGGTCCAGAGTGCCACCCAAGTAATTGTGCCTTTACACCCACTGCTCTTGAAAAATCACTTTGACAACTATTTGTTTCATCGGTTCAGATTTTGAAACAGTTCATAAGTTTAGATTAATGTTATTTGATGACTTCTTAACATATGTGCTTTTGATATTTTCATCCCTAAAGAGTAGGAGATTCTGAAAAAAATACTGAACACATAATGTTGCTCCAAAGAAGCTTGTCTACAAGGAAAGAAGAGTCATTGGAAAATGTCCATTAACTCCCAGAAGAGGCAATATCTTCTCTCTTGTTAATGTTTCTTTATTGTCTCTCTTATGAAAAGTTATTATTATTATTATTATTTTTGTATAGTAGAAAGCATGAAAAAATAGTGGGAAAAAAAAAGAGTACGAGAACATATATGAGAATTAGGCATAGGTGGGATTTGTTATGTGATTTGGTATTTATATCACACATTCAAAAGTTTCACACAATACACTATTTAATGAAATACATTAAAATCAGTAAATTTTTTTGAATACCACAATACTTTTTCTTATCTTTTAAAAGTCCTAATTGAATACCACCGGACTTGTATTGATTGTTTAAAAATCCTAATTGAATACCACCAGACTTTTATTGGTTACTTAAAAATCATATTCTGGAAAGTACTGAATATTTATGTCGGATAATAATAATCTATTCCGGAGAGTACTGAATATTTATCCATAATATTATAAGACGTTTGATATTGTTTCAGATAAATAATCTGACTATGTTATGCTGTGTTTGATGCTCCGATAGATAACAGTATATCAAACTATTTTTTTTTAAGTTCTTCGATAATTTATGGGATCATTCCCTTGATCCAATTTCCCATTTTACATGGCAGAATTCCCTCCTTCAGTCATAGTCCCCACTGGTACTTGGACCGCCTCAAATCCCACAACTTCAACATCCATGCCTTCCACCAAAGAACAGCCTTATAAACCGAAAGTCCTGATGTAAAAGGCAATATCATGTTATGTGAAGAAAAATAACGAAAACCAAGTCCAAATCTAGATTTGAGTCGAAATTCAGCAGTGCATGAGCAACTAAAAGCTTCATAGATCATTCAAACACCAAAAGAAAAGATGATAAACCCAGATCATAAAATTAAACAAATACAAAATTACGCAACACTCAAAAGAACAAGGTCAATTTACGATTTTTCAAATAAAGAACAAATAAATCTGAACAGTTACTCCCATATTGCAATTAAAAGCACACAAAAAAAAAATTCAAAGAAAAACGCATCCAATAACATATTCAATACATTCAAAAAGATTGGGACTTACATCGAACAAGCAACAAAATCCAATAAAATCAACCCAACATATATGATCTAAACACAATTCTTTCATCAAGATCAATCGGATCAACCCATTAACCAAAATTAATAACAAAAGAAAACAGAAGAAAAAAAAAATGAAGCTAGAGGAAGATAGACAAGTTGAACGTGTATTATCTAAATTTGGGTTTGTGGGTTGTATTAGTTAGTAAGGTAAAAAGAGTATTAAAAGCTCAATCTATTTAGCATAGTCAAGTAATTAAATAATACAAGTTGACACCAAACAAACAACATGTACTATTTTCTCATATCTGGACCGGAGTCTAATCCGGTGTACCAAAAGCAATAAGCAATAAGTCACTGCTTTGCTTTGTCTATGAATACTTAAGCTATTAACAAAAACAATAAGTCCCTGTCGTCGACAAATGCAATATGAATCCCAACAACAATCTCTACTTATTCTACTGTTCTCTCAATTTCAAAGACCATCCAGCTTGATGATGCCCCGATCTCATCTTTCCTAACTTTCTAAATTGTCACATCCCCTCCATGTTCCATAAAGTGTCAGTCATGTTGTCCAACATCCAATCACCTGCTGTCATCTGGCAATCAAACTGTTGATTGTTAAAATCGCAAATTGCTGAAGCAGGGTCCAGGTTGAGACCCTCCATGTCATAGGCATAGCCACTGCTGGTGTCCACATAGTAACAGTCATTTAAAGCTGGGCTGCTGCTGTAGACGGTGTGGTCAAAAGCATGAGTTGGACTTGTTAGGCGTTCTGAAGTTTGAGGCAGCTGGGAAATCAAAGAATCTGAGGAAAAGATACTTGGGCTTCTGACAGAACTGGAATTTCCATTAATGGGATGCTCAAATATTTGTGAAACCTTGCTTGGTGGAGAAGTTGAGAGCGAAATAGAAGGAGCAGAGCAATTAGGTGACAGAGAAGGAGATGCAGAGTTCTGAGAACTCAAGGTTGTTGGCAAGTAAGAAGAAGAAGATTGCTCCATCTTTTGAAGCAACGTTGGCATCCAGAAACATCGAACCGCGTCAAGGAACCTCTTGCTGTTGGACTCGATATTGAGCTGACGTGCTTGTTTTTGGACCCTTGTTCTCCAATAGTTCTTTATCTCATTGTCTGTTCTTCCTGGCAAATGCTGTGCAATTTTAGACCACCTGAAATTTGAAAAATATAAGAACACAGAGTTAATTATGATTTAACATAATAGTTATAAACTTTACTGAATGATTAAGCTTGAATATAGATAATGACCTGTTACCCCACTTGGAATGGAGTTCAAGGATCATGAGTTGTTCTTGTGGAGTGAGGTTGCCACGCTTAATGTCAGGTTTTAAATAGTTTAGCCATCTCAATCTGCAGCTTTTTCCAGTCCTCTTCAATCCTGAAAAAAAGTTGAATGACAATCAAGAAATGAAATGGAGGCCATAAGCAAAAGGTTGTGATGTCATGAGAAGGGCTGACACTTACCTGCACATTTTGCTAACGAATTCCAATGGCCTTCCCCGTGACTAGCAATGTAATGTATAAGCAGAGTGTCTTCTTCAAGTGTCCATGGCCCTCGTCTTAGATCAATCTCCTCTTCATTAGGATTGCATGCCCTCTTTGTGACAGCAGCCATAGCTGCTCTGCTCTGCTCTGCTATATTTCGTGTGTAAACTTGTGTGGGGGAGAGACTGGGAGTTTTTTTCACAAGCTTGGTTGTTTTGAGAAAGAGGAATGAAAGTAAAGCCAATCAAAGCCAAAGATTTATAGAGCGCAACAAAGTTGAAATAATTGCAACTTCAAATCTAGAAAAGTAAAAACCCAAAAAGAGTTCGTCCAATTGCTTTTGGCTTTCTAAACTGACCAAAATAGAATTTTTATTTTCTTTCTGAAATAGGGTTGGTTGTGTAGTTCAATAGGGCTACGAATTATTGCCTTGCAGAGGTGGCAAAGCCAGAGCAGCTAACCAGAGTTGGGCCACAACACAATAAATCATATTCGAGTCATCCCTTAGCCAAGTGTACATAACGACAGAAATTGGACAACTCAAAGGGAGCTCTTTTTCTTTTTTTTTTGGTCAGAACTCAAAGGGCTCTTTTATGTTTTTTTTTTAAAAAAAGATACTTGAAATTTATGTGTTTGAACAAAGGGTGTAGTGTTGAAAATGGTCTTTCAACTTGCATATTAATGGTCTCATATTCGAACTTTTATAACATTTTGGCAGTGTATGTGTGAGAAAATCCTCCTTTCTCAATATCGCTTGTATCAAAAGAAAAAAAATTAATGTATTTGAACATTATTCACATAAGTGCTTTATTTAAGAGACACCCTTGTAGGGCCCACTCGGCATTGTATTTCGCTAATTCAAACTATCTATTTTTTTATATAATTATTCAAAGATCATCTCTACAAAAGATCACTTGAATCCGATATCATTTGACCACTCAATTGAGTTATTGAAATTGTAGTACTTTCTTGAAGCACCGTGTTCATTGTTCTTGGATGTCAAAAAGATTTCCAATTTGTCTTCTTCTTTTTTTTCAATGATGATTTATGAATGTAGACTTAAAAAATAGATCGTTTGGATTGTTGAAAAAAAAAATTAGTAGAGAACCCTAAAGAGTGTTCCTAAAATAAAATTATTTGAAGAATCCCTCAATATAAAGGGACTATATATTATAAAACAATAATAATAATTTCGTGTACTGTTGGATAGATTTGAAAAAGGTCTAAAGAAAAAGAAGACAGATGAGAGTTTGTTCTTGGAAATAAAATGTAGGTATTTCTTTAGGGGGAATGCTACCTTCCATTTCTATCCTTGTCCATCCAGATCCCCTAATTGTGCAAGAAACGTGCTTGACTAGACAAAATATATTATACTCCACAAAACTACAAAAACTACAAGACTAAATGTGGAAGGATGGGGTTTATTCTGAGTTGGGTGGCATTGAAGCATGTTTCAAATTTTGTCAGATGTTGACAGTGGTTGGACTATAACGATGCTTAACCCAAGCACAGTAAGTAACTGTGTTTCTTTCTATTTTCTAGTTTCTCCCAAAATCCTTGCCAATTTCCAAATACATTTAGGAGGTGGATAAATGATTAACAACAGAACAGAGGTTAATAATAATATACCTAGTATTACTATTATTAAACTTGTACTAATTATGGTTATGAAACTAGAATTTCCCTGGCTCTCTAACCAAAGTGAGTTAGATTCTAG